GGCAGCGCGTGAGTTCGGTCCCTCATGAGAATGGGTCTAAAGTCAGTGAGAGGACATCTTACCATCCTGCTTCTAAGGGGCCTTCTGCGCATACTTTGATCCAAGACCGACGTCAGGGAGCCTGGCTCCACCCCAGCAGCCCCCTCCTGCCATGGCCTGGGACAACCCTGCACATGGCCATGGGGTTCTATCCCCTGCTTCTTGGTGCTGGAGGGCTGGTGGGACTGGAGCTCATGAGCGCGGTGGGGAGGGGACTGGGGGAGATGAGTGTGGGAGGTGGGGGAGTCACACACGTACGTTCCCTGAAGCCTGTGGGCCCCACTGAGCCCTTTCTGGTTTAGCCCAGTGAGACCGGAGCCACTGGGGGTGGGGGCTCCCTGAGTAACCCAGCTTGCAGGGGCTGAAAGGATGTTTCTGGAGCCATGCCGTGATCTTGGGGGCAGGGTGGGGGCCTCTCCTGGTGGCAGGACTCTACCCACAGGTGCCCTGGTGTCCTTGTGGGTTACCCATTGTTGGGCTGCTAACTGCCAAGAAGGCCAGTTTGAACCCCCGCAGCTGTTCCCAGGGAGGGAGCATAAGGAGTTACAGCCCTGGAAACCCTGTGAGACAGAATGGGTGGGTGTGGGGAGTGTTGGTTTAGGGGGTTGGTACCCAACACAGTCTCCTTCTCCCCGCTCAGCTCCCCCTTTTCCTGCCTTGTTCTGGTCTCTCTGTACCTCAACACCCGAGAGGAAATTGATCGCCATCTTTTGTGTGTGTGTGTGTGTGTGTGTGTGTGTGTGTATATGTAAGAGTGTGTGTATGAATGTATGTGAGTGTGTATATCTGTGTCTATGCATGTGTGTGCATGTGAGTGTGTATATGTGTGTGCATGTTAATGTGTGTATGAATATGTGTGCATGTGTGTTTATGTTTTGTATGTATGTATGTATCTATATGAATGTGTGTATGAGTGTATGTAGGTTTGAGTTGTATATGTGTGTATGTGTGTATATGTATATGTGTGTGTGAGTGTGTATGTAGGTTTGAGTTGTACGTGTGTATATGTGTATGTGTGTATGAGAGTGTGTGTATGTGTATGTGTGTATGAGAGAGTGTGTGTGTATATATATGTGTGTACGTGTGTGTTTATGAGTTGTATATGTATGAGTGTGTATGTGTATGGGTATGTGTGCATATCAGTGTGTGTTCCTAGAACAGGGGCTGACATACTGGCTTGTGAGCCGTATGCAGTTCTGTCAGTAAGTCCATGGGCTCTGAAGTACAATTGAAAAATGAAAATAAGCAGTTTCACTAGCTCAATACCTGAGTTGCTGAACCCGCCCGCAAGCTTCTCAATAAAGCCTGCTTCTAAAACTTAAAAAAAAAAAAAAAGAAAGAAAAATGAAAATAAAACTATCTTAGTTTCCCTTAAAGGCTATTATACAGATGACAGCGGTTTTGTTTGTAAAAATATATGTATGGCTCTCGAATAATGTTTAAATCGTTGTGAGGGGCGGGATTGGCTCTTCTGTCTTAAAAGTTTGCAGACCCAGATCTGAAGGATCTAGCTGCTGAATTATGGAAACTTCTCCGGCCACCTTTCCCTCACTCGCTCGCCGGAGCAAAGAGCTTGTCTGCTTCTGTCCTAACCCTTTCCCAAGAAGGTACCAGGCACGTGGCAAGGGCTTAGAACCTGCTTGTTGAGTGGACATAGGTCAAAAAACATGAATAGATCTTTTTAATTTTAATATTTACTGTGCTGTGTTTGTCATCGCTGAGAAGGTCCACGGCAGGGCAGACGGTGGGTCACCCGTTTCTGCAGGGGAAATTCACTGACCTGGGTACCACCCATCAAGTCTCACTTGCCTTTTCTGTGCTGCCCCTCCCCCGTGCCTGGCCACAAATGTTCTGATCTAACCTTTCCAGTGGCTGCCACCCCTCTGATGGGACCCTGGTGGCAGCGTGGTGCATTATGCCATGGGCCACCAATCACAAGGCCAGCGGTTCAAATCCACTAGCAGAAAGATGAAGCTGCCTGGGTCCGTGATGTTTATAGCCTCAGAAACCCCAAGAGGCAGCCCTACCCTGTCTTATAGGGTCGATGAGTCGGCATCCACTCTGTGGGCGTGAGGTTGAGCTTAGTGGTCAGTTTGATCCTCTAGAGCAGTGGTTCTCAACCTTCCGCATGCCTAGACCCTTTCACCCAGCTCCTCATGTGGTGGTGTCCCCCAACCATAGCATGGTTTTCATTGTTACTTCATCGCTGTCATTTCGCTACTGTGATGAATCAGTGACCCCTGTGAAAGGGTCAAAACCTTTCACAGGTTGAGAACCGCTGCTCTAGAGAGCATTCTTGAAAGAGTATGAAGCTCAGGAACTCCAAATTCCGTGCCAATTCATCTCGACCCTATAGAACAGGGTAGAACCGCCCCTGCGGGTTGCTGAGACTGTAACTCTACAGGCGGAGAAAGCCTCCTCTTTCTCCCAAGGAGCAGCTGGTGGTTTCAAACCGCTGACCTTGTGGTTAGCAGCCTGACTGGTCACCCGCTATGCCACCGAGACACCTCGTAACACTGCAGGCAGAAACCCAACTACGGTCTGTTGTGGTTTGTTTGTGCTGTTTGTTGTTTTAAGCCCTGGTGGCGCGGCGGTGAAAGTGCACGGTTATTACCCCAAAGGTCAGCTGTGGCCGACTGCTCCCGGGAAGGGTTATGGCCTCGGACACCCTCACTGCAGTTGCCCTCTGCCCTCCGGGGTCACTGTGCGTCTGAATCCACTGACGGGGGCTTGAAGAGTTGGGTTTCACAGAAGGGTGGCAGGGAGGAGAGACGAGCCAGTCAGGGTGCAGTGTCCGCAGCCATGAAACATACAACTTTCCTCTAGTTATTAAATGCTTCCTACCCTCGCCCCCGCTATCATGACCCCAATTCTACCTTACAAACCCGGCTAGACCAGAGCTACAGATAGAGCTCGCAACGCAACCCAGGGAATCCGGGACAGATAAACCCCCCAGGACCAATATTGAGAGTAGCCATACCAGGAGGGGCAGGGGAAGGTGAGTGGAGAAAGGGGAAACCCATCACAGTGATCTACCCATAAGCCCCTCCCTGGGGGATGGACAACTGAAAAGTGGGTGAAGGGAGACATCTGTAAGACAGGAAAAAACTATAATAATTTATAAATTATCAAGGGTTCATGAGGGAAGGGAAACAAATGAGAAGCTGATCCCAAGGACTCAAATAGAAAGTGTTTTGAGAATAATGATGGCAACAAATGTACAAATGTGCTTGACACAATAGGTGAATGGATGGATGGATGGACGGATGGATGGATGGTGATGTGAGTTGTACGACCCCCCAATAAAAGGATTTTTTTTCCAAAGAAAAAGAGTTGGGTTTAAAGCTCATTGACTGCCCCTCCCCTCCGCCGTCGAGTGGGGGTCTGGTCTTTGTTCTGGGGGAGGGACGTCCCTCTCTCCGCACCTGCTGCACCTGAAGATCCGGCCTGCCTGACTCTGTGCCCTCCTTCCCTGTGCCCCCGCCCCCGCCCCCCCAGAGGAAGGCGAATACTTCCTGAAGGTGCTGATCCCCAGCTACGCCGCGGGCTCCATCATCGGCAAGGGCGGCCAGACCATCGTCCAGCTGCAGAAAGAGACGGGCGCCACCATCAAGCTGTCCAAGTCCAAAGACTTCTACCCGGGTGAGCCAGCCACCCACCCCCTGTGCCCGCCTCCGCCTCCCCGGGGCTCCGCCCTGAGGCCCCACCTGGGCCCTGGATCGGGGGAAGGGCTCCCCTAGGGGCAGTGAGGGGGGTGGGGGTGACTCTCCCCTCTAAGGCGACCTTGCTGCCCCCCCAGCCTGAGGGGCCGGCCAGGAGCAGATGGGGGTCGGGGCAGGGCCAGACAATAGGCCTGCTGCATATTCATGAGTTCATTTGCATGACGCCTTGGCAGATGTGCCCCTTCCCACACACCTGCCCTCTCCGGTCAGTTGGAGGGGGGAGGGGGCTAGGGAGCTGGGAGGCAGGTGTCAGGGTGCCCCTGGGGTCAGGGGCAGGCAGCCGTCGTGTTTTGTGCACCCACCCCTTCCTTCTCCCCTCCCCGCCCTCCGCCCCCCCATACCCGGAGGTTTCTGGGCCACTCTTGGGATCTCTGTCCTCCTGTCAGCTTTGGTTTCTCGCGGCCAGTGTCAGCCCTACAGAGTCCTCCGTCTTGGTTCTTCTGTTGTCTCCTGCTTCGTTCGGACTTTTTATGTTTTGTTCCTTGAATCTCTGTCAGCCCCCATCAGTGTCTCCCTGCCTCTCCCTCTCCCTCTGCTTCTGTGTGTGTGTGTGTGTCTCCTCTCAGTCTGTCTCTCTGTCTCTGTCTGTGCGCGCTCTTGACTCTCCACCTCTCTGCTTCTGTTTGTGTCTTAGTTTCCCACCCCTGTCTGCCAGTCTCCGCTCATTCATCTCCCTCCCTGCCTGCCTTCCCTTCCCTCTTGCATTCCCTCCACCACTCCCACTCACCCCTCCTTTCTGTGTGTGTCTCTGTCTCTCTGAATGTGTGTCTCCTCGCCTCGCTTTCTCGCCCTTTCATCTGCCCATTCATCACCCACGTGGTGCGTCCCCACAAGGCAATCCTTTCCCGAGGGGTTGCCTCCCCTTTCTTCCTGTGCCCTCCCTTAGGGAGTCTTTCTGGGTGTCTCAGCACCCTCCTCCTCCTCCTCCTTCTCCTCCTCTTCCTCCTCCTCCTCCTCGGAAGTCTCCAAGCCCCTTTCCTCCCTCTCCTCCCCCCTCCATCCTCCCCACTCCATGCCTCTCCCCTCCCTGGCTCCATCCTTCTCTCCCAGTTGCCCATGGATGTGGAGACCCTCCAGTGGGTGTGGGCTCAGAGCGTTTTCAGAGGCCGACTTTCTGGAAGCAGATCACCAGGCCTTTCTCCCTCAGCACCTCTGCGTGCACTTGTACCTCCAGCCTTTCGGTTTGCAGCTGGACCATTTATTTGACACCACCCAGGGGGGCTCCCTCGCCACTCTGCCCACAGAGGGTTCCAGGCCCGTCCGCTCTCCATAGCCTCCCTCCCTGCCCCCTCACGAGGGTAATGCAAAAGAAAGGGATTGTGCCCTCAGATTTTCTGCAGCCCCCAGATTTCGCTCCGGAGACCAGAGACCAGCACCTGGGCCTCCTGTGGTCCAGCACCTGGTGATGCTCATCCTTAATCCCTCAGGAGGCTTTGTAGGTCAAACAGCAGAGCTGGAGTCCAGAGTCACTTCTCTCTCTCTCGCGCGCGCGCGCGCTCTCTCTCTCTCTCTCTCTCTCTCTCTCTCTCTCCTACCTCCCTCCTTCTCTCACCCTTCTCCCCCCACCTCCTACCTCCCCCACCCCTCACCCCTCACCTCTTATCTCACTAAGCAGCTTTGGCAAGAGGTTTAGAGAAACATGTCCAAAGGGCCAGGTGCCCCCTCTCCCTCTGCCGCTGCCCTGGCCCAGTTTCTCCGGCACCCCTCAGCCCACAAGTTTCAGACCAGGCCTCTGCTCGGGGCATCTATCCTCAGGCTCAGGGGCTCTGCTCACGGATCACAGTCGGTGGCATGAGTCCTGGTCATCTCCCAGTGCACCCCCCGAGGCTTGGGCAGCTGAGCAGCCCAGAGTGTGGCATCCTCACTGGTTCTCCCAGATGCCCTCTACGAGCATGCATTCCTCCCCGCCCCCCTCGCCCCTGCCCACCACCACCACCACCAATGGACAGAGAACTTCCGGATCTCTGTACTGCCTATGTCCTAGTCCCACCCCTGAGACCTCCCAGGAGCAAAGGAAATGGGGATCCCCTACAGAAGACAAAGAGGGTGCTTCCCCCCCTCCAGGCTGACTCTCTCCACTCATTCATTCATTCATTCCTCTGAGCATACCCTGGAGCCAGCCCTGTGCTGGGAACACCAGAGTAACAGAGAGAGCCCCAGCCTGGCCCTTGTGTTTCAAGGCCTCAGCGGGAGATGGAAGCCAGGGCTGACATGAGCTGACTGGGCTGGGAGCATGGGTGCAGCAGCTGACTCAGGCTGGGGACACCCAGGGCAGGGCTGCTGAAGGCAGCGCCCGGAAGGATAAAAGGGTGCTCCGGGTGGGCATAAGGGTGTGCTCACACATGCAAAGGCTGGCGGCTCAATGAGAAGTGAGGGTGGGGAAAGAAGTTCAAAGGGTCCTCCATGCCCTGGTGGCATAGTGGGTTATACGATGAGCTGCTAAGCGCAAGGTTATCGGTTTGAAGCCACCAGCCGCTCCTGGGGAAAAAGATGAGGCTGTGTGCTCCCATAGATCAAGACTGATGGCCTTGGAAACCCCCAGGGTAATCCTATAATCCTAATCTATCTAGGATACTACAGGGTCACTGTCCATGGGAATCAACTTGATGGCAGTGAGTTTTCTGCCTGGTAGATTCACACACTCACACACACACATGCTCACACACTCGTACACACACATGCTCTTTCACACTCGTACTCACACCCGCTCGCCGCATACTCTTACACACACACAGCACTTACCGGCCTTTAGCCCCAAGCAAGGGACTGAGATATTACAGACCCCTCCCTGGCATGTGAACCCCCACACCCCACACAGGTTCGATCTTCCCAGATTCTAACACAGACCCCACACCAAGCCCGCGGGCGGGTCCACTCTGACTCCAGCAGCCCCGTGTGTCAGAGGTGTCCCTGGCTGTCATCCGCATGGAAGCCGGTTGCCAGGTCTTCCTTCCCTGTTGCCAATGGGCAAGTGTAAGCCACCAACCTTGGGGCCAGTTTCAGGGGCTTCAGCTCTCCTGGTGGTGGTGGTTCTGGGCCGCTGTGGGACCCAATCCCTCCATGCAGCAGGTGGAGACACTGCCCACCCCCCAGCCCACCCCCAGTCCTGGCTTTGCTTGAGCCCCTTGGTGCGGCCCCTGTGTCCTTCCATCGCATCAAGGGTCCGCCTCCTCTTTGCTGCTCCTTCGACTTTCCCAAGCATGATGTCCTTCTCCAGGGTCCCTCCTGGTCACGTGTCCCAAGTATAAGAGACAGCGTCTCGCCATCCTCTGATCGAAGGCGCTTTCTGGCTGTCCTTCTCCCAACACGGACAGACTTGTGCTTCTGGCTTCCGCAGCACATTTACGAAACTTCGCCATCCTCCGAAGGCATCAACTCTCCTCCCGTCCTCCCAATGCGTCCCCATGCCTAGGGGGCGATTGAAAATACCCTGGCTTGGATCAGGTGCCCAAAGTCACCGCCCCGCCCCGCCCCCAGTAATCCTGAAAATGGCTTCCGATTTGGACCAGACCTCCCCTCCTCCTCCCCTGCCCCTAAGACAAGCACAGACAGACACCCACTCTTCTCAAAAGCCTTATTGATTGGTGATAGGCGCCCACCCAGGCACAAAACCTCAGAGCCTGATGCTGCCCCGAGAGTGCGCAGATTTCTTGTCTTCCTATCAAAAAGAAAGCGTCAAACCCGATGTGTTGTCAGGACAGGCCTCCCGAAGAGGAGGCCCTGTCTTGTGGCCCTGGGTGGTTTGGGCTGGGCTGCAAGCCTGAGAGGTGGGCAGTTGGACCCCGCTTGGGCCGAGAGGAACGCGGAAGAAAGTCCTGGTGGTCTGCTCCCATGAAGAGTGGGCGGGTCAGGGAGGTTCTCTGGAGGGGCCTCCTCTGTGACACAGGGGAGTCAGAATCAGTGAGCAACCAGACTGCCGTGTGTGGTCTTGCACACACACACCCCAGCCCCCCACCCCGGACTGAGTCCGCCCCCTGCCCTCTTGGTGCCTCAGTGACCTTAGCAGTAACTTGAGGACATGCGCGCGGGGCGCGGAGCCTCCCCTAGTAAGTGAGCGCCTGGCTGTGAAGTACTCCAGGGGCCTGGCATATGGTGTTCTCTCGGTGCCAGCTGTGATGATTAGACACACTTTCAAGGCTCAGCCCAGTCCCGCACCCCACCCCCCACAAAGGCCCTGTGGCCCCCCAGGTTAAGGATTACAAAGAGGGGGTGGTGGTGAACACAGGCTGAGAAGAGGGCTCTCCCTTCCCCCCGCCCCACCCCCCACCCAGTTCCCACCGTGCCCCACACCCTTTCCTATTTACTCCCCAGATGGAGGCAGTCTGCACGCTGACTCACCCTTGGCTCAGACGGAGCCATTGTTCAGGGGTGGGGGGGGTGGGGGGCAAGCAGGACGGATGGTGGCCCAAGTGACCCACAAACGGTGATTCCCAGTGACACATGATAGGCCTGGCATCCCCAGGACGGGCTGAGGCTGTGCAACAGGGGGATGCTCTCAGGACACCAGACACTCACCTCCAAGTGTCCCAGACACTCTGGGAGGCTGGGGACACTGGCCAACTGGGCCCTTCCCAGGGAAACGCGCACACTCAGGCCACACCCCTGCAGGCTCCCCAGGCCCTCACATGCGGCTGCTCAGGCACAGGAGAGGCATGTGTGTGTGTCTGTTACACGGATCCTCGAGCACATGCTTGCACAAACATGCCTCTGCCCGAACAGACCCGCTGACTGGAGTCTGTCTTTACACACCCACATACACACTCCTGCCCTGACTCTCACACTCAGACACATGCTCACAGACTCCTGATCTGTTTCTTTATATCCCTGTCTCTTTCATACACACTCACAACACACACACCTACTCTCTCCCTCACACACAGACACAACACACATACTCCTGACCTGTCTCGCTCTCTTTCACACGCACAACACACACATGTGTCCTTCCCTGACGCACACTCAGACACATGTTCCCATACTCCTGATCTGTCTCTATACCTGTCTTTCTCACACACACATACATACACACACACTTAACACACACATACCTGCCGTCGCACACAGACATATACACTCAACACACATTCTCTTCGGCTCTCTCACACACACACAAGCAATCATATACTCCTGCCATCTCTTAGATACACCCACATTCACTCTCAGAACACACACACAGACACCTGTCCCATCTGTCTGTCTGTCTCTCACACACACACCACAGACTGTTGTCCTGTGAACACGAGGGGTGGGATGGAACACTGCCACTCTCTTTCACAAACACACGAGTGCACACGTGTGCGACATCGACGCACAGTCAGCTTGCATGGTGAGCGAGCACCTAATGGTGCCAGCACCGCTTAGTGGGACTGTTTGTTTCTCTCAGACTCTGTCTCCCTATCAGCCAAGTCCCACACATGGCGCCCGGGACACCCAGCGTCTGACCCACACGTAAGGGGGGGGTCACACACCTCATCCTTGGACTCATGTCACATTGCATGTCTATGTCAGCTCACTCTCTTCTACATACACAGACAAGCTTGTCAGTGTCCCTCTAGTGTGACAGGTGTGTGTGTGTGTGTGTGCAGTTGTCCAG